CAATATATTGTATATGTAATAGTAATTTTGTAATAATATATTACAAAATATATTGCTAATAATCCTGTACGGGGTTTCATAGTTTGATAAATAAACAAAAAAGAGATCTATTTCTTTGGATAGATCGTTCATTCGTTGCAATAATTGTACAATTTAAATGATAACAAATCATTTTAATGAAATTATTTTAATGCTCTAGCACGAATAGTAATTATTTATTGGTCACATTGTGTATGTAATACGAGCTTCTGCCAACTATAAAGGTGTGTTTGTGCAAATCTGTTTAACAAATTCAAGGGGCGAATGACGTCTGCGTCTGTGCGTATGGTTAATTATATGAACAAGTTTCGACATTAGTGAATTTTCGTGGCGTTGGAAAATGTCACGCATTTTTCAACCCCTCCTTCAACCCCTTAACTTAACACACATTTCTTATTATTTCATTTTAAGGCCAGAATCGTGAATCAATGTTCCAAAAATAACAGAATAATAATAATAATAATAATAATAATAATTTTATAATATAACATTCACGGATATCGTAAAAATGGGAGTGAGAGACATCTGTAACTGAAATCAGCAATTACTTAGTTGCCAACCCAATAATTGTGTTACACCGTGATAGGTGAAACAAACTTGTCCTTGAAGTAGATTAGCTTGGAAGTAAATGCCTCCAAAATGTAATTTCGATCATCGCGTAAAATTTCTGAGATCTTTTTGCCAATGAGGAACAAGATTTCTACAAGGGATTTCGCAGTCACCAGGAAGACGGCGAAAGAATTCTAGAACAAAATGGTCGATACATCGTTGAATAAATATTATATTAACCCTTAATATTAACACTTTGCACTCGAAGCTATTTGATTTTATTAAATCTTATCTTATTAAATCTATTAAATTCGATGAAATCTTATCTTATTTTATTCAATCCAAAAGAATTTTTCTGACTCATAGTATTCTCATTTTATATGACAAAACGCATTTTATGCATGCGAAATTGAATCTCATGACCTACACAACGATCACGCTTTCAACGATCTTTTCAAATCTAAACTTTGTCAACGCAAAAATGATCTCGGAACGTGATATAACAAATTTAACCGGTGCCCCAGAGTCACCACTCGAGTGCAAAGGGTTAATAAAAGATTCAATTTCCGTGTTTCAATCTTCCTCGAAGAACGCGATTACTTTCCGTCCAAATATGTTCGCTCGGACCTAACCGCGAACCGTGTGCGAAGGATCAAGCGTCGAAAAACCGAGTAACGAAGGAAACAAAGTGATTCATATGGTCCGAGCCCTCGTCGAATCGGCGCGGCGCGGCGCGGCTCGTCGCGAATGCTGGCCAGGGGGAAGAACTTTACGCCGGTTGCCCATAGCAGTACGTTTCAGTTTACGGTCCCATGAATTCGAGGAGTACCGTGGCCCACATAGCCATCGTATCCGGCTCGCGTATCCCGTATAAATCATTTGGCCCTACTAGGAATCCCTGTTCCTCGGCTTATTTCCGCTTACTCTCGCGGGGCAGTTGCTTTTTACCGCTTTGTTCCAGCCGATAGAAAACAAGTAATTGGCGACTTTAACAAGGATACGGTGATTACACCGCCGCTTCTCGCCGCTAATCCTTTATTCGAGGCCTCGTCGTCGACGTAACGTCGCGACGCGACGCCCCGCGTCCGACCGTTTCTGCCGTTTATTGCGAGACCGAGCGCGAACCGATCGAAAAGATCAGAGATCCACGATGCAACCGGGCGAACTCGTTCAAGTAAACTAGATTAGAAAGTTCCCGGGTCCTTGTTTTCGAATCGTGGCGCAACATCGTGTAATTAGCCCATCGGATTGTTTTCATCGATCAAATTGCAGGACCGTGGAAAGATAAAGAGGACTCCGAACTCGCCGGTGATTCCCAGCGATTTTCCTATTTAACCGTGAAAATTAGCGAATTGCACATTCTGTTCGATATTTCTTAAGATGATCGTTAATAAATAATCCCTATTTTCTTTCCTCGTAAAGACACGTTTTGTTGTTCCAGTATAATAATTGAGAAACTTTAAGGCTACGATTTCCCCCTTCTAAACTGAAATCTCTTGTATATTTGATAATTAATTATTAAAAGTACTAGTATTTGTACTAGTATTACTATTTGCTTGTAACTTATTTAAAGATATTTTAAGATGATGGTTAATAAATAATTCCCATTTTCTTTCCTCGTAAAGACACGTTTTTTTGTTCCAGTATAATAATTGAGAAACATTAAGGCTACGATTTCCCCCTTCTAAACTGAAATCTCTTGTATATTTGATAATTAATTATTAAAAGTACTAGTATTTGTACTAGTATTACTATTTGCTTGTAACTTATTTAAAGATATTTTAAGATGATGGTTAATAAATAATTCCCATTTTCTTTCCTCGTAAAGACACGTTTTTTTGTTCCAATATAATAATTGAGAAACTTTAAGGCTATGATTTCCCCCTTCTAAACTGAAATCTCTTGTATATTTGATAATTAATTATTAAAAGTACTAGTATTTGTACTAGTATTACTATTTGCTTTTGTAACTTATTTAAAGATATTTTAAGATGATGGTTAATAAATAATCCCCATTTTCTTTCCTCGTAAAGACACGTTTTTTTGTTCCAATATAATAATTGAGAAACTTTAAGGCTATGATTTCCCCCTTCTAAACTGAAATCTCTTGTATATTTGATAATTAATTATTAAAAGTACTAGTATTTGTACTAGTATTACTATTTGCTTGTAACTTTAGAAATTAGATATGCCCGATGCCTGCCAATATGGCGGCATTCGTCCTTGGAGGTTCGAATGAATAGGTGTGTACGTAGAAAAAGATCGTATATTATATTTCATAAAGAAAGCATAGCAACAATTTATTGCGCGTTGCAGCAATTAAAGAAGCAGTTGATGTAACGCACGCTCTTTTGAGTTTAGAAAGTAAATAGCAAAGAAACCAGAAGGGCGTATGTTGCACCAATTGCTTATTTTTTGCACCTTGACTGCCGACTCGACGACCTTAAAAATTAAAAACAGAGAACTTAAGATGCATGATACTGTCTAACATTCCTTCAACTTTCACGCATTTTGTAGACGTCAATTAATACACTGAATTGCGTAAGATCGAGTCGTAAATAACATCCGTTTTCTCGTGAGACATTTATTTTAAACAATTAAAAAAAATTTTTTTTTATTTACTTTTTATTTTATTTTATTTTATTTTATTTATTTTGAATCCTTATCTATTTAGTGAAAGCAAAAACTCGTTAGTCCCGGTGACTCACAGTGGATAGATAGGAACAATAGTATCGAAAATTATTTATAACTCGATATATTAGCGCAAAAATTAATTTTCAAAGCTGGACGAACAATTTCATATGCGTTTAATTCCTGAAACATATTGCTTGGAGTAATCATTGCTTCGGCGAGTATTGACAATGAAAAGGAAAGCGGGAACTATGAAACGCACAACATGAGCCCTTTGTACAGGTACCCATTCAAATAAACTTGTATTTCTTTTTTATCTTTGAACACGTCTTTATTTTTTATTTTTGCTACGTATCGGCAACACTAATCTTTGACTAGATTCATTTCAATTCGTTTCAACTCATTTTGGAATAAATTGAACTTCGCTTTTTCTAAAATGTCAAAGCGACACGGTAGCATCCACTGTGATATCAATTTTAAGCTTTTGATTTGGGTTCCATTGATGAAATCACTATGATTTCGCGGAAGTATTTAGCACTTGACGTGCACATATTGTAAAAATGATTTGTTCCGGCGGAGTGGGATTTCGAGAAACCGTCGGACAAGGAAAAAGAGAGACGGTTTTCTCAGCGTCCGAGCCCATCTTTGGCTCGAAACGCGCGCTATCGTCGAACTATCCCTCTCGCCACCCCCCACTTCCCGGATTCGGATGTCGTTCCACGTATCTAGGTTTCACGTAATAAAGTAGTTTCTTTCGCATGCTTTCTAACCACGCGTTATGTTCACCGGTCGCGGACACGGACGCTCGTTTTTTGGCCCCGTCACTGGATCGTCCGACATCGATCCAACAAATGTTTACACTCGCTTTTGTTGTTGCACATTGTTTGCTTGTGTCAAGGCGCTTCGGGCAACTGTCGCTTGCCGATTAGTTTCTCGTGTCAGTAGAACAGTAGAGCCGTGATTAGGCTGCAAGGTTTCTCGGTACACACATGTGAAACTTCGTGGAAACAATACAATAGATAAAGCTTACACGGTCGCGTAGGAAGTAAATTAACGATCGCTATTTCTGCGGTAATTAATATGATTAGATTATAAGAGCATACAAATGAAGCTTATAGAGTTTTGGGAGAACATGATATTGTGTAATGAGGCCTTTGAAATCGATGATGCTTGTTAACCCTTACAGAGTCTGATACTGTATATTCTGTCTGTATATACAGGGTGTCCCAAAAATGTCTCACAATCCGAAAGTGGCGGGTTCCTCGGGCTATTTGAAGCAACTTTTTCCTTTACAAAAATGTTCTTCGAGGCACCGTTAACGAGCTATTAACGAAAAACAGTGACCAACGAGAGGCGAGCTCGGCTGGCGCGAGGCGATCGAGCCAATGAGCGGAACTGGGCTTCGCGCGCTGGTTGGCTGGGCCTCGCGTCAGCCGTACTCGATTCTTATTGGTCACTGTTTTTCGTTAATAATTCGTTAACGGTGCCTCGGAGAACATTTTTGTAAAGGAAGAAGTTGCCTCAAATGATCCGAGGAACCCGCCATTTCCGGATTGCGAGACATTTTTGAGACACCCTGTAGACTGTCGTAAATCGATGCGAAGACAAAAGAAGTGTGAAACAATGCATACGATGACGATTATTTGGTTCAAACGATGAGCGAGTGAGCTACTAGAGCAAGCCACTATAGCGGTGCGTCGTCCAGAGAGATGACATCCGCGAAAGCCACTATAGTGGCGCGTC